AATAACGTTCCAATGAAAAAAAGCCCCCAAAAGGACAGAAAACGGTTAAAACTAAAAGAATATCAAAAGGTGTGTATGTATATTTAATTCATATCTCATTCTTACATGTTTTAACAATCATTTTAGTTAGTTTTATCATATAACCATATCTTGCATCAATCGAAATCATTTTTAAAAAAATAAAAGAGATCATTGTTACATGTTTAACCAGTATATTTAATTGGCCAAAGCCCCTATTTGTACCCTCCATTTATTTCTTTTCCACGATTAACACTTTTCAGAATTTTTCCTCCCTATTCACACTTTCTACTTTTCAAAATCCGTAAAAAACCCAACATTTTAACGCACCGTCATGGTACCGTTACAAAATGTACTACGTATCACTCAAAAATTGACGTGACCACTATGTGCCATTAGTAATCCAATGTGGATACCTTTTTTTGATGATGTGGTTTATTTAAATAAAAAAATAAAAAAATTTAGAACAAGAGCTCTAGGTTTCGGAACCCAGAGCTGGGTTCCTCACAAGGAACCCAGAGTCGGGTTCCTCATGGGTTCCTCCGGAGGAACTCAGCTCGAAACCTCTGGGTTCCTTGTGAGGAACCCGATTTGGGTTCCTCGCCGAACCCAGAGTTGGGTTATGAGGAACCCGATCTGGGTTCCTCACGACGAGGAACCCAGAGTCGGGTTTCTCATGGGTTCTTCCTGAGGAACCCATATCGGGTTCCTCCGGAGGAACTCAGCTCGAACTCGATCTGGGTTCCTCACGACGAGGAACCCAGAGTCAGGTTCCTTCGGAGGAACCCAGCTCGAACCCTCTGGGTTCCTCGCCGAACCCAGAGTTGGGTTGTGAGGACCCCAATCTGGGTTCCTCACGACGAGGAACCCAGAGTTGGGTTTCTCAATGGTTCCTCCTGAGGAACCCAGCTCGAACCCGATCTGGGTTCCTCCCGAGGAACCCAGCTCTGGGTTCGGGAACCTAGTTCCGAGTTTTGAAACCCAGAGCTCCTGTTCTAAATTTTTTTTTTTTTGTGGGGATGCGGGGACAAGTGGGAAAAATCTCGTGCAGTGGACCCCATTGCACACATGGTGTCCACATGTGTAAGAAAGAAGCCACATCATCAAAAAGCAGATCCACATCTAAACCTAACGAATAAGGAAACGCTGCATGTGCCACGGCAATTTCTGGGTGCCACGTAGTGCATTTTTTAACGGTGCCGTGACGGTTCGTTGAAATATTGGGTTTTTCATAGGTTTTGAAAAGTGAAAGGTGTGAATAGAGATGAAAAATTCTGAAAGGTGTTGACCGTGAAAAAGAAATAAATGGAGGGTGCAAATAGGGCTTTGGCCTATTTAATTCATATCTCATTGTTTCATCATATAACCATTTCCTAAATTATATGAGATCACTGTGATTGCTTCAATTTCTTCACAAAGTGTACTCTTCCCAAATCATTAGTAAGCAATCAAATAGAAAGAACAGAAACAAATATATCACATTTACTAATTGAAGATTCTATAAGCAAATGGTTAATGGGTCTAGGTATTTATTCTTGACCCCAAAACAGAAAAAAAAAAAAAAAAAGAGGGAAAACGAAATTGGTAGGGAACTGAATACCTAAAAACCTAATAGTTGCCCCAACACCCATTATTGAAATCAAAGAGAAAAAGAGAAAAAGATATGATTTTTGGCAAAGCAACAAATTATTAACAGCCAATCACAGTTTCAATCGACAAATGCCCTAAAGAAATTGAAGGAAAATTCGAAGACCAATCACCACGTATTTCTTCACAAAAAAACTGAAGGAACCTACCATGACTGAGGGCGCAAGAGATATCGGAGGTGGAGGGTGGGAAAAGAGAGACAGCGGGAAAGGGGGCTGCTTTCACCGTCGCCGTCGGAGGTTGCATAGACGGAAAAATTTTCCGACCACTGTATTGCGTTCGGCTTCTGATCAATAGAAGTAAAACTGGCTTTGGAAAAGAAGAAAATAACGGCAACAAAGTTTTTAGTACTAGTGGGCTTCTGACTATTGGGTGTGGGCCGTGTGGTTACTCGTTCAATTTCAGCCCATAAGTATGGAGCTGCGCTGATGGGTTCTCTTAACAAATTTTTTATATTTTATTTTTCTATAAGTAAAGAAATTAATTTTTTTAAAAATACTTATTAGTTTGTATTTATAAAAAATTAAGTAAAAAAATTTTAAAATTACATCATTTTAATAAATTTTTATTAAAAAAGAAATCCAGTTGATAAACATTAATCTTATTAATTTTTTATTTTTATTTTTTTAAAATTTTGAATTATAAAATAAAAAGCATTCATTTTTCATCTTTTTATTTACATTACTTATATATCATACTACTCAAATCAAATAAAGGCCCCTTCACTTCTAAAGAAAAAAAAAATTCACCACTAAATCATTTAAATTGTTGGCAAGAAATTAATATTTTGTTATTATTATGATAGCAATCACTTAGAATCTCAAAACCTTAAATCAAGTTAATTTTAAGTTGGTTTCATTAGTTAACTTTTTTATTCAATTAGTTTTTTCTTCTTTTTTTTTTTTTTCCAATTATTAATTCATCCTTGTGTCAAGGAAATTCTTTATTTTGTTTATGATACAATTGGATCACTATATAAAAAAAAATAAAGTCTTTAAAATGAAATATGGCAATGTTACATTATAATGATATTTTTAAATATAATATTTTATATAATATAGTGAAAATTAAACAAGTAAATGTATTCTGATTCGAATATAGATTTCGAAATAAAAAAATTAATTATAAAATAATATGTTTATACAAAAATAAATGTTCTAACCTTTAACATTGTTTTTTATGTTAAATATTTGTTTAGTGTGTTATAGATTAATACATGAAAATACAATACAACTACAAGAATAACAAATAACAAACAAACTTTAAATTATAACAAATAAAACCAAGAAAAACTTGAATACAAACCAACAAAATGGGGAGAGAATCATGCCCCTAGCTACCGAGCATAAACTAATCATTGGAAATGGCACTACCAAAGAGGAATAGTTCATACGATTTTCGTATAGTTCATACATGGCACATTGTATCCACATTCCGAGGTTATCTTCATTACACATACTCATTTCGATAAAATATATATCAAAGTCAAATTTCATTGATCAAACAGTTTGCATGATCACATCTTGTTCACACCTTCCGCCTGTGCACAGTTTGCATGACCACATCTTGTTCACACCTCCCGCCTGTCCCTCT